CCTCTCAAACTCTATTGTCAAATTGTGAGTGCTCATTTACACGGAGGAGTAAGTGTTGTGCTCCACACTTGGAACCAAGACGCCTAGGGGAAGCTGTCGAGATAGCTCAGCTGGAAGCCCAAGGTCCTGAGTTTGAGTCCCTAGGACCCATTAGGAAAAAAAAAATAGATAGCAAGCAAACAAGCAAGCAAGCTAGCCAGGATTGGTAGTATGCCATTCTAATCCCTACACTGGGGAGGCAGAGACAGGAAGATTCCTGGGGCTCATTGGTCAGTCAGCTTCACTGACAAGTTCCAGACCAATAAGAGACCTTGTCTCAGAAAACCGGGTGGAGAACATCTGAGGAATGACACCTGAGTTGTCCGGTGGCCTCCATATACATTTACATGCCTATGCCCACACACCTATTTGAATATATGCACCCCTCCTCCACATGGGTACCCACATACATGAACACACACGTAGATGCGTATACTCATGCATAGCTGTAGCACATAGAAAAAATCAACTCTGGCATTGGAATCCTTTGGGGTAAAACTTCATCACTGAGGGCTCAGGAAGTGTAAGGGTCTGGTCTGGAAGGAGAAGAGATATCCCTCGGGAGCAGTGCGAGATAGTGTGCGTGGTGAGGTCTCATAAACCAGACCCATGCTGCTTCCTCCGGTGTTACTGGGGGGACACACAGTACTCTAAAATATTCATGAGGCCTGTTTCCTGAGTCATCACCAGCTACCGCTGCCACACGGGAACCATTGGCAGGCAGCTTGGTAATTGCTTAGGAAATGAAATTTTGGAAGAGCTTTAAGCAAAACCAGGGAAAGAATATGAGGCTTGAAGAAGAGGAGACAGGAAAGCAGAAATCAAAAAAATCATTTACTCTGTGTGTGTGTGTCTGTGTGTGTGTGTGTGTGTGTGTGTGTGTGTGTGTGTAAATGTGTGGCACATGTGTGGAGTTAGAGGACTATTTTGTGGAGTCAGTATTCTCCTTCAACCTTTAGTTGAAGTTCAAAGTTCAAGGGTCAAACCCAGGTCACCGGACTTGAGTAGCAAGCAAGTGCCTTTTACTCCCTGTGCCTTCTCTCTGGCCTTAGGAATTTTTTCCTGTTTCCAAATCCAATACTCCATACTTCCTAGGAATAGTTTAAAAATCTAGCACCATACGAGTTTCTCCCATCTCAGCCATCTTCTGAAGATGTGGTTTCCCTGCAGGAGACAGACCACACACACTGTTGCCTGGATGAGAAAATGGTGGCTGTCCCCCGCTGAAGATTAAAGTATTAGTCTCAGAAGCCAAACGGAAAGCTCAGACTTTGCAAAACAAAACAAATTTAAGCCAACAGTTTCGAGACCCTGTTGTACTAAAGGAAAGCTAAACACAAGACTAAAATTGAAAACAAAAAATGTTCCGATGTGAAATGAAATCCCCTTTTCAGTCACTGAACGGAAGACAGCGATGCAAGGGCTGGGCCTCCACCGGGCCACGGGGATGCGAGGGATGGAGGGCACGGAGGGGATGGAGGGCACGGAGGGCTGGGCCTCCACTGGGCTCCACAGCCAGGCTGTGCTTGAATGAGCAGTGGATGAAACCAGCACCCGGGCCACATGCAAATCACACCACACCTTCCTGAACTTGGGTGAAGCCAAGAAAGATCCCCCCCACAACCCCAGCACACACAAATTTTCTGGGTTTATTGTTTCTACAATATTAGAACATTCTACCTTAGCTTATGGTACCATAGGTGATGCAGTTGGAGTGTTAAATCTGACCTTTGGAAATGATGTAGTTTGGCTAACTTTAATCAAGATGAGAAAAGTTATTATTATAGATCTCTATTATTTCCTAGTTGCCTCTTCATCTCGTTTTAAAGTCTCATGTGAAGTTTGAATTTTCTGATTCTTGCTGCATTTTAGAGGTGGGATTGCCTGCCTTGGAATTTAAAATATATCAAGGCAAATGTACTATAACCGAGTTTTCTTTTTAATACTTTACTAAATGTACTTAACACTAGCGAACTCTACATTCTGATGGCTAAGATATAAATGTGATATACACGCTTGTATATCACATTAAATATTGTTTATCACATCACATATCACATGCTTATACATGCTTACATAGTAAGAGCGCGCGCACACGCGCGCACACGCACACGCACGCGCACGCGCACGCGCACGCGCACGCGCACGCGCACGCGCGCGCACACACTTATTGTAACCAAGGATCTGTACACACCTTAGGACAGTCAGACCATAGCTTGGTTTGGAATGGTCCAGTTCCCCAGAAGGGAGCTCATTTATGCTATTCCTGGTTTCAGCACCAAATGAAGGAAGAAAAGAAAAGAAAAAAGAAAAAAAAGAAAGAAAAAGGGAAGGAAACATGACTCCTAGGTTTAGTGTAGATAGAAGGGAGAGAGTAATTAGAGTCAGAGATATCTGGGAGAGGCCAGAGTATATAGGACCACACTGAGCTGTGCCATGTAGGAGAGGGGGAGGGGTGGGGAGAGGGGAGAGAGGGGAAACAGGTGAAGCAGCCAGGAAGCCTAAAGGCACAAAGAGAGTAGCTAACCAAAATAGTCGGTTTTTTTTTTTTTTTTTAGGGATGAGCTCCCAGCCTCCTGGACTGGAGAAGTTTAGGGTAGGGTGCAGGGTATGCCAACCAGGAGGGACCTGTAACAGGTAGGGGCTGAGGGATGCTGGGAGACCCTGGTGGTCAGTGTTCATTTTGATCTGTTAAATAGGCATCTCAGCCATTTGTCTCAGGTATGAAACCTAACACTTAACACCAATGAACTGTACTTTATGATAGCTAAGATATAAATGTGTATACACACACACACACATACATCTATCTATCTATCTATCTATCTATCTATCTATCTATCTATCTATCTATCATATCTCAAAATGCTTAGACCTGTTCGTCAAGATTCATGGACTAACAAGCTGGCGATGGTGGCACACACCTTTAATCTTAGCACCCAGGAGGCAGAGGTTGGCGGATCTCTTTGAGTTCAAGGCCAGCCTGGTCTATATAGATAGAGTTCCAGGACAGCCAGGTCACAGAGAAACCTGGTCTAAAAACAAATCAAATCAAATCAAATCAAATCAAATCAAATCAAATCAAAACAAAACAAAACAGACTAGAGAAAAAGTTCATGGAATAAAGCAAGTTCCTGTTCTTCAGTACTTTATTATAATTTTAATTTAGTTCCATTCAAATAGGGTTTTTTGATTTTGAGACTATTTTGAGACTATTTGTTACCCGACGCTACAGAGTTATTAAATGGTGTAGGACACACTGATATATGGCAAATGAACCTTCTTCCTAGAAACAACACAACTAAGTTCCTGACAGGCACTAAGGACTCTCAGGGCAATGGAAGGTAGGTTGAGAATTTTCTTCTTCTTTCCCCCTCTGAGATAGGACCTTGCTGTGTTCCTGAGGCTGGGCTAGAACTCACAACATGGCCAAGGGCGGCTTTCAGCTCATTATAGTGGCCTGTCTGTTAAATGCTGGGGTCATAAATATGCGCTAGAGAAATTTAGAAACAGTATAGTACTGATACAATTTGAACTTCTCAATGATTTGCGAGGACTGAGGATGTAACTCCTGGCCTAACATCTGAAGCCCTGGGTAAAGTCTCAGCTACCCAGAGGCAGGGGGAGGAGGCCCAGGAGCTTACGTCAATTTTCAGCTACATCTTGAATTCAAGGCAAGCCAGACTATATGAAGCTCTGTCTCAAAGAACAAAATAACCTAAAATAAAAAATGGGGGTGTATTTGCTTTTCATGATTAATTTAGTTTATAACTATGTGATCAGTTTAGGAACTAAAATTTGAAATAAAGTACAAATTCATTTTGACTTTTGAAAAAGAAATTTCATATTATATTTTGATCATACTTTGCCCTCTCCTCAACTTCCAGATCCTTCCTGCCTCCCTAACACCATATCCTTTCTATTTATATTTAAACAAATAATAAAAAGGAACAAAAAAATAAGAAACACACACACACACATACACACAAGTCCAACAAAATGGAAACCCAAATATACAAAGAAAAAGACCAATAAGACAGAAAAAAAATTGTCCAAACAAAGCAATATGAGATGAAAAGTCTACAGAAATCCCACTGAATTCCCTTTGTGTTAGCCAACCACTTCCTGGGCCCAGGGCCTACCCTGACATGTGGCTAAGACACCCAGTGAGAGTCCATTGGAGGAAACCACTCTTTTCCTGGCCAATGGATAGCAACTGCAGAACTTTCTTGGTGAGTGGTAGGAGCCCTGGTTCCCTTCCCCTTCTCAGCTCTGGGATCCTCCTTGAATCTGTAGGGCTTATGTGTGCTGCCTTCTCTGTGAGTTCATATGTGCACCAGTCCAGTTTTATCCGGAAGACACTGTTTCCTTGGAGTTATCCATCCCCTTTGGCTCTTAGCAATCCTTTTGCCTTCTCTTCCGTATAGATCTCTGAGCCTTGAGGGGAAGGGTCTGATGAGTGTTCCAAAGTCTCTCCCTCTGTACAGTATGGATCTCTGTGTTTGTTCCCGTTTCCTGTAAGGAGAGGCTTTTCTAACTGTGGCTGAGTGACTGATACAGGAGTGTAAAGTCTGACCATTCTTGTGTTAAATAGAAGATACAATTCTGGAGCCAGGTTTCTGAAACGGGGAAAAGAACTGAGCAGAGGAACCAATTCAAAGCTAATCACTGCCCAGCAACTGTTCTTAGCTTTGTTCTGGAAGGGACTCTGCAGTCTCTGCCATTATTCCAAGCCCCTGGGGAGAAATACAGCACCGAATCAAAATGCAATAATGGCAGGGGGTGAGGAAGAGTTAAAGGGATATGGCAAGTCTCTCCAGAGAGACTCAGCCTGAGTCATGCACGCAGACACAAACGTCAAGTGGCCACATCCTTTCTCTGTAGCGGCAGGACAAGTCCCTGCCCACACAGTGCGGGCTGCAGAATTCTCAGGCTTCCACTTGCTGCTCACACATGGAGCCGAGGGGAATCTGCCCTGTGACTCTGTACATTTAGTAACATTCCATAAGCGGGTCTCAGGACATGGAGATCAAAGTCTTTATCTTGGTTGCGACTAGGCTGCTGTTTCTGCCAGCTACTGTTTGCCAAGGTGGTAAGTCTCCTTCTCGTGGACAGTATGTGGATGAGGGAGGGGTGAATGGATGGTTTCTGCTGTAGGAGTCAAAGGCCCAAATTTTCTTGTTAACTCCTAGAAACTGTGAACCCAAAGGTGCAGTTTGATCTGGGTTTTTAACCTGGTGTAATATATCATGGAAGCATCATCGCAAGTCTGTTCCCAAGTCAAACCTTGTCAAAGACCAACTGTTCTTAACTAGTAGTGTCTCTTACATTTGTGACAGAGTCAAGACTTTATGATTAAGTCAAAAAACATTTTTTCTTTTTTTGGAGTGAGAAGTGTTTGTTTGTGTAGAATGTTCAGATGTAGAAAAGTTTGTACTTTTTCAAGGCATTAAAAAATCTTTTCAAATTTCTAAATCTTATAATTTCTGTTGAAGCACTGGTGGGGAAAAAAAATACTGCCAGGAAAAGTAATTTGGATTCAGCAGCCAGTGATGTTAGTCAGTGATGTTAGGTGTTTCCAAGGTGAAATACCTTCTTTTCTTAATCTTTCAGAACCAGGGAGTTCTCTCTGTCCCTCCCATATATACATAACTATGTCTGTGTGTATATATGTCTATACAAATACATATGTATATGATGTTTATGTATAATTTGGTTACGTATAATTTTAGAAATAAGCTTTTCCAAATATAATTACTTTACTTTGAATGTGCCTTCTATCGTGGTAGCTTGTAACTTCCTGATTGTTCTGACATGAACAACTTTGAGACAGGATTGTATCCAGTGCCCTCACTGTCAGGCCACGGGGCAATCAATTAGAAGGGGGACATGGGAAGAAACCAACTCAAACAGAAGGCAGCCCTCTGCAAAAGGAATGATCCTTCAATTGAGGTCCCTGCTTAAGGGGACCCATGGCAGGGGCTGTACGAGCAGGGTTCAGCTGGGTTTACAGTTTCTCTGAGAGGGTAAAAGCTGAGCCATGGTTGCAAGGAAATGAGTTATGTGAAAGAGTTCCTTCCTGACGCTAGTCCTGCTTGGGAGAAGTATACATGGGGACTTTAGAGAGGAGGGCCGTGGACTCGCAGTCTGCCTTGGGGAGATGGGACGGGGTGCTGAGGACCATTCTCTTTGGATTAGACTCTCTCTGAAGTCTTCTCCCAGGACAGGAACATTTCAGAAACACGGCATCAAATGAAACCCCCAAAATCCTAGTCAGTTGCTTGTCTTTTTTATAAATAAAATTTAATGAGGAATTTTATTTGTAAGGAAAGTCGGTTTTTGACTAATAGAAGTTCTAGGTGGTGCCAGACCTGAAATATTGTGGGAACAATCTTCTTTCAGTGTGTTTGTGGACACGGGTCTTGCCCAATCACAGGACTCTCCAGAAAGCTGACTAACACTTGGTTTCATCAGTTTTCTCATCAGACCTTGGAAGGAAGAAATGTGTATAGACAGTTCTGCCCAGTTTCCTTTCCAGGCGATGTTTTGAGTGATATCAGACTTGGCTTTACCCAAATGTGAAGGACTTCCGTGGCTGAGCTCAAATGTAACAGGACATTCCAATAATGCATACATCTAAACACAGGCACACAGAATGCTACCTTCCAAAGTAGTCTTTCCTTGAATGACACAGGGTCACCTTCATTTACCAGTTGTTTGGACAACACTGATTCCACCTGATACATTGAATTCAGCCTATGCAAACTCCGAAGTCTGGGAGCAAGGGCCAGAGATTAACTCAGGAAGAGAACGTGCCTCCGAATGAGGACAGTCTACTGAACATCATCCTGGAATATTTAAAATGAGGGATGCAGGAGTTTTGTGTCCAGATCTCAGTGAGAACTTTTCAAATGGGAATGTACCAGGCTTCCACCAGCATTTGCAGAATAACAGGAACTGACTGAATTGTACCTACAGCACATAGCTGATATGTTCCTTTCATTTAAAAGAATTCATTTTGCTGGGTGGTGGTGGCACACGCCTTTAATCCTAGCACTCAGGAGGCAGAGGCAGGCAGATCTCTGTGAGTTTAAGGCCAGCCTGGTCTATAGAGTGAGCTCTAGTACTGCCAGGGCAGTTACACAGAGAAACCTTAAAATTCTTAAAAATTAACAAAACAAAACCATTTTAACCCTTAGGTTATCACAGTGAGTTCATCTTTTGATTTTTCTTTTTGCCTTAAAACCTAGCATTTCTCCTTAAGCCCATCTTTGCTTTTCTTCTTCCCATATCTCTCTGTAGGCTCTCACTGTAGGCCCTCTCTCCACTTCCCGAGTTAAACTACAGGCTCTGTGAAGACTAAGAAAGTCACACTTCACATTTGCTCTTGGCTTTCAGGAATGCCACATCTGGTCATTGCATTATGACCACATGGCCAATCTAGGATTCTGTTCCTGTCTCCTAATTCCTAACTAAATAACCCCCTTTCCCATGGGATAACATATCATGGGTTCTAGGAGCTGGCAGGTGGAATCTTGGGTTGGGTGGAATGTTATTCTATTTACTATAGTAGCTATCCCCCTGCAAATTCTGTGCAGAGAGGGGGACAGGGCAGTGTGGCTCAGTGGTAAAGCAGTTTAATTACCAACATGTGGTGGTGGGGAGGGGGTGGCATTTATGTGCCGGAAGGTATGAAAAGATCGTGGCTTCAGAGGACAGTTTAGAGGTCCTTTGGGGGTTAACTGTGTGACCTACTTTCTTAAGTTCCTCTTTTAGATGAATTTAGCACAAGACAGCGCACGAGCATGCGCCTTCTGCCCTGGTCTAAGTGTTACTTGTAGATGGCAGTGGAGTTTAGAACTGACCCAGCATTGCCATGTAAGTAAGCAACAAACATTTTCAGAATCAACTGACTGGCCTTTCCCAGCCGCAGCTGATGGACAAAAAAACATTTTCCTATACTGTTCCAATGTGTGGTTTTAATTTCATCTAGCATAGTGGTTCTCAATCTTCCTGATGCTCTGACCCTTTAACTCAGTTCCTGATATTGTGGTGATCCCCAACCATAACATTATTTTTGTTGCTACTTCATAACTGTAATTTTGCTAACTGTTATGTCTCATAATGTAAATAATTTTAGAGATAGAGGTTTGCCAAAGGGCCATTGATCTAGCGCTATTATAAATTCCTGACATGCAGGGACCTGTCTCTAGTTCCCACAGAAAAGCACAGCACTGGAGCATACGATGCCTACTATACATACACACCGGTGGTTTGCATCATCTATTCTGATTTTTAAAATATGACCCCAAGTTCTATAGCTATAGAAATCACATAGCATCAAACATTTCATTTTATTTTTATCCAAACCACAGATGGGAGTCGGTAACAAATCATATGCTAATCTTTCCTTTAAATTACAGGCATGAAAAATGTTTCAGACAACTCAGCAAAGCCAACCTTAACTATTAAGAGTTTTAATGGCGGTCCCCAAAATATCTTTGAAGAATTCCCATTTTCTGACATAGAAGGCTGGACAGGAGCCACCACAACTATAAAAGTGGAGTGCCCTGAAGAAAGTATTTCAACTCTCTACGTGAATAATGCTACCATGGGATACCTGAGAAGCTCCTTAAGTACCAAAGTGATACCTGCCATCTACATCCTGGTGTTCGCGGTTGGTGTACCAGCGAACATCGTGACCCTGTGGAAACTCTCCTCAAGGACCAAATCCATCTGTCTGGTCATCTTCCACACCAACCTGGCCATCGCAGATCTCCTTTTCTGTGTCACACTGCCATTTAAGATCGCCTACCATCTCAATGGGAACAACTGGGTGTTTGGCGAGGTCATGTGCCGGATCACCACAGTCATTTTCTATGGCAACATGTACTGTGCTATCCTGATTCTCACCTGCATGGGCATCAACCGCTACCTGGCCACGGTCCATCCTTTCATATACCGGAAGTTGCCCAAACGCAACTTCGCCTTGCTCATGTGTGGCGTGGTGTGGGTCATGGTTTTCTTATACATGCTGCCGTTCGCCATCCTGAAGCAGGAGTACCATCTCGTCCAGCCAGAGATCACCACCTGCCATGATGTCCACAACACATGCAAGTCCCCATCGCCCTTCCAATTCTACTACTTCGTCTCCTTGGCAGTCTTTGGGTTCTTCGTCCCGTTTGTGGTCACTGTCTTCTGTTACACAAGTCTTATCCGCAAACTTAACTCCCAGGATCGTAAATGGCAGAGGTACATCAAGGCGGTCCTCCTCATCCTCGTGATCTTCACCATTTGCTTTGCCCCCACCAACACCATACTCATCATCCACCATGTCCACCACTACTACAGTAACACCGACAGCTTGTACTTTATGTATCTCATAGCTCTGTGCCTGGGGAGCCTCAACAGCTGCCTGGACCCATTCCTTTATTTTGTCATGTCAAAAATTGTCGATCAGCTTACTTCTTAGTCAGCCATGAGTCATCGTAGAGAACAAGGAAAGAGATCTGGGAAAATGTACATGCTTGGGCTGACCTGTGCATGGCACCAACAGATCAATTTTTAATTTTTTAATTTTAATTTAACTTAATTCTATGAGTTTGGTTTTTTTTCCTTTTTTTGAGACAGGGTCTCACTGTGTAGTTCTGGCTGGCCTGGAATGCTCTATTTAGACCAGGTTGGCCTTGAACTCACAGAAATCTGCCTGCTTCTGTCTCCCAATGCACTGGGGTCAACCAGGCCTGGCCACAGCTCCCTTTTAAAGCTCCTATGAAACAGTGCTTCGCACGTCAAATGTAAAGTTATGAGGATTGAAAGAATACTTTGTATTTTGAGAGTGTCTTCATCGTGAACACTGTTATCATTAGTCCTATGGATACATTTCTATTTGCCTTCCTGATTCTCCAAGCTATACATTTCCCCTTCCCTCCCGAGACTGGCCTGGGAGGTTATCATCACCATGGTTCTCCCTTCTCCTCAAGAGGGTATGCTGTCTTTGTTGTGTCTCTCACCAGGGTCCCCTTCACTCCACCTCTGTCCTAAAATGGCTGCCCTCACTGCCAGTGGAGCCTCATTTCCATAGATCCGGTTATCCTTCCCTTGACCCTGCACCTCTCCTGAAATGGCAAACCCTTGGATGGCTTTCACTGCCAACTCCCTAACATGACCTGAGGAGCTATACCTACCATTATGCACCCCTTTGCATCAACTGTCTTCCCTCCCCGTCCCTGCTGCCCCGCTGAGGCCCCGTCTACCATCTTTGCTTTAATCTGTCCAGCTTTTCAAGTCTTTAAAGGCCTGTTCTTTCCTTACTCTCAAACTAGAAGCATCACTTTCCTCATCTGGATTTCCAAAGCACTTTCTTATAATTATGGTACTTCTAGACAAACAAGCCTGCTAAGCTCATTTGCATATAAATATTACCTTTATAAGGAACTAAGCTCTTTATGTGGTTAGTTCTCTGTACCTGCAAGCTTCACACCTGTAGACTCAACCAACCACGGACCAAAAACACTTGACAAAAATTGTATGAGCTGAACGCGAACAGAGTTTTTTCTTTTCATTACTCCCTAAATAATACTAAAAATGAATAATAATTAATAATAGTCTTTATACAACAATCACACTGTATTAAGTATTTCTAAGTCATCCAGACATGATGTGAAGTGTATGGGAGATTAAGCAGAGATTGCAACCACTGCCTTAGGGATTTGGAATCTATATAGTTTAGTGTCTGCAGGGGTCCTGGAAGTCACCAGGGAGGTATGATGCAGAAGGTGGCATCTGTCCTCCCTCCTTCGAGGTTCTTGTGGTCATTCCGGGGGCCATGTTCTGTGGGGCCAGCTGTACTCTTTGCATAGCATGTGGCTGAATGAAAGAATAAAATCCCAAAGCATCTAAACAACATGGAGGCCTATGCAGTTCTTACTGACAAGGCAGCATACCCTGCAGGATGTTCTTTATGATTGGGCTTGTTTAAAGAGGAGAGGCGAGAGACTTAAACAGCAATATGTTCATAAGGCCATTAAGCAAATATTTCCATCCCTGCTTGTTTTAATGGGAACTGGTATTGAGTTATAAACCTCCAGATTATTCCTGTAGGTAAACTATTTTTTAGCTGAGGGAGCCAATGGGAGATGTAATATTAAGCAAATACAGATAGGGTTGAGGGAACCTCTGCAAACAGCATTGTTGAGACGAAACTGTAAGTAAGTAGATACACGCATCTGACAAAACATTATAATCAACAAAACTAAAAATACATTTAAGTGTACACTGTTGAGTGTGCGTGTATGTGTGTGTGTGTGTATTTTTTCCTGTTTCATCAAACTTGGATATATACTTGCACACATATTTACCAGAAGGCATCCACGTCTATACACCTCACAGAGACACTTGCTCATCCATGTTTCCTGCAACACCATTTTCACTGGCTAAATAAAGAACCTGGCAGGATCCCAGGAACAGAGGAATGGGTAAGGCAAACTCTCTTGAAAGCTTTACTTTCTAGCAAGGCTAGTTAGCCTTAAAGGAGGGGGAGTCATGCCATTTGTGGGGGGAAATGAGCACATCTGGAGATCATCATGTTGAGCAAATTAGGTCATCTCAAAAACATACTGTATTTTTTTTACCCTTTGTGGTGTTTCCATCCTATACAAAGAAACAAAATCATGTACTTGTGCATGTACCTGTACTGTGTAAGGAGGACAAAGGACAAAGGGGAGTGTCAAAAGAAACAAAGTTGCAGCTATAGGGGGCGGGAACATGCATAATGAACAATGGATACTTGTACAAACGCATTAATTAAAAATACTTTACAAGGTTACATTAAAAGGAAAAAAAGTTAGAGTTGACAGGATAGTTCAGTGGGTAACATTTGTGACCAAGTGTGACAACCTGATTGGTCTGTCTCTCCAATTCACACTGTGGAAGAAGAAAAGTGACACCTCCAAGGTGGTCCCCACCTCCACACAGAGACTCGCGGACTCACACACTAATAAAATACACAAATAAATGTAACAAAACAAAAGTCAGATAAACCTTAAGACAAGCAGTTAAAATAAATCTAAAGCCAGTTTTAAGATTCTAAAAATTTCAGTAAAAGGAACTCAGTTTGAAAGCTAAGTCATTAATTGTAGCAGTTTGTCTGTGGCAGAAATACAGCCATAAATACTAGTTAAAAGCACACATAAATCCAGTGGGACATGCCTTTAATCCTACCACTTGAGAGGCAGAGACAGAGTTGGAGGCCAGCCTGGTCTATACAGGACAACTAGAGCTTTAGAGAGCTTGTCTCAAAAACACAGGAAAGCAAACAAACCAAACCAACCAACCAAAAAAGCCCAAATAAAAAACAAACAAACAAAGGCACACTTAATTTTTTTGGTATAACCATCCAAGAACAAACTCGAACATTAGTGGAGTATAATTCACATGTCAAATAAAGCTGTAAATTTTAAATGGCTCTTGATTTGCTTTCTCCAGTGGGCAGAGTAGAAAGTGTGTTCTGTTCAGTGTGTGCCACCATGTTCTTTACTCGATGTTGGGGCATGCTGGATACACAGTATCCAGAACTCTCACTAGCCCCTCCCCTGTCCTCACTCTGAGGAACCTTAGCATCCATTCCAGGACGCTGTCTACTATACTCTTTAATGGCTGTCTACTTTGGAACAATCTTTACTTGATACTGTAATGCCAGCAATATGTTTTTATTCCTATTATTTCCCAAGGCTAGGCTGTGGGAAGGCAATACATAGAAATGCCACCAAGGATGTACACTGGAATGTTCTAGGAATCTAGCAGAGATTAAGAGAAAAAAAAAAGCACACCACAACTCGGTTGAAAAACAGATTTCTTTTTTTCAGTTAAAAATATCAGGCTGAGAAAAAACTGGATTGTGGACACAGCTTAGTAGCAAGGCAAGTGCCTCGTGGGTGTACGGTCCTAAGTCTGATTCCCAGTTCAACAAACAACGAATAAATTTCTAAACCAAACTGTTTACGAACAGCAATTTAACCACCCGTGACATACTCCTCCAACTTGCAGTGTTTGAATTTGACAGCAATGGTCAATGCAATTCTTGTCCCTGATGCCCAGGCTAAAGGAGTATGATTCCTAAGCTTGCACCCAGAACCCTCATATCTGTGTTCAGTGTGCCAACACGGCAGCAATGACAGTGCTGCTTCTGCATCCAGGCTCCCTGCCCAGCACATTGCTGCCAAGATGAGGGCTCTTAATGGGAACCTCCTTATTGTCAGAAGGATCCTGAGGGTTTGGCTTGGGTCTAGAGCCTAACGGCAGAACATTCTGGAGAACCCACACACACATGATTGCACACGTATGTAGTCATAATGCTATTAATATATTAAAATATAAAACACAATAATATATAGTAATATAATAATTAAATAATATTCTTATTTGACCCTTATTATAATACTATACAATAAGTATTTTTTTTAGAATTTGTACTATTCATTCATTCATTCATTCATTCATCTGTTCATTCATTCACTCATTCATTCATTGAGACAAGATCTTTTTATGTAGTTCTGGCTGTCCTGGAACTCATTCTATAGACCAGATTGACCTCAAACTCAGAGAGATCCATCCACCTTTGCCTCCTGAGTGCTGAGATTAAAGGCATGAGCTATGATGCCCAGCTACAATTAGCATACTTCTATTTTTACTTTTCATGTGTGAAAATAAATGTATAGACACATGGTAGCCTCACTAAAGTCTCATGACCAGGATTTGAATGGTGCCTATCTATAGCAGAAGCAAGTGACCTGTGGACCCAATATAAGCTCTAAGCTACGGCTTCAGCACTGTACCTGCCTGCGGTCACACTGCCCACCATGATGGTCATGGACTCGCCCTCTGAAACCATGGGTCTCACATTAGTCATTTTCTTTTAAGTTGCCTTGGTCATAGTGTTTCGTCACAGTATTAGACCTGTAAGACAGAGCCTTTCCCTCCCCATCCCTGGCTGTATTACCCTGAGCCCCAACCTCATTCTTTCAGACAAGCTGCATCCACTATTTGCTAAAGCTTAGCTGAGCAAGATCTTTGTAAAGAGCAGTTCCTGGGAAAGCACAGCAGAAAAGCAAGCCAGCTGCCAGCGCTGATGGATGCCCTGCCTTGGGTCACAGATCTCTGGACTTCCAACGAGGCCACTTAATAGTGGGAAGGAAACACAGTTTACAGTTACCAATGGAAACCCTACATGTGTTGTTTAGAAATTTTAAATATCAGTGGGAAAACAGGTTCAACAACATCTCCCAAACACCTTGAAGTCCACTTTCCAGAAGATTCTTCTCCTTTAGAAATATTCCACGCACATTTAAGAGCATGTTTCAGCCTCCCAAGGATGTGAATCCTATTTTTATGTATGCTGTAGTATGTTATTATAAAAAAACCATTTGGTGGACTGGGGATTTTCCCAATGGTTAGTATACTTGTTTGCCACACAAGACCTTAGGTTTGATTTCCAGCATTCCAAGGGAAAATAATCTATTAAGATCCTTTTTTTTTTCTTTTGTCCTTGCTGTATGAGATGTCTCTCTCCACTTGTCTTATCATATGTTTCTCAGTCAGGTAGACACAGTCATGGTCCCAGAACCAACCACCTTTCAGAAGAGGGTTGGGGAAGCAGCCACAGGCGTCTTGAGCCATGTAGGCTACAGTTTTGCTGTCTGTTTTGGTGTTGGTATCCACAGTACACGCTATAGCTACTGATAGACACACAGTGCTGGAGAGATGGCTCAGCACGGATAAGCCTTGGCTGGTCATCCAGGGACAAGAGTTGGGTGCCCAGCACCCACACCAGGCAGCACACAGCTAGCTGCCTGCTGCTCCAGTTCCAGAAGGATCCAACACCTCTGATCTCCAAGTACGTCTGCACTCATGTGTACATATCCACAGAATGAAAAATAAATTTTTAAAAAACCCACACATGCATATATTTATAATGCCATTAATATACTGAGATATAAAAGCACATTTCTTTGTATATTTCATGTTCTGGGTTAACTGTCATTGAAATATTACAGGGCAGGCATTATTCTCATTTTATGCACGTGAGAAATAAGCATACGGAGCTGCGGCAGCTGAGGCCACAGAGCGAGGATCTGAATGGTGCCTGCCTGTCTCCGAAGCAAGCACCTTTCCCTCTCAATGCTGTTATTTTGCTGTCTGCCACAGACACAGTTATTTAACTCCTAGTTCATTATCTCAGAACTCGTGATGATGGGGAAATGATTTCAGGGCTATTATGGGAACTAAACGAGAGATGCTGAGCTACCACTGTCGTGCCTGCAATCCAGAGATGCTCAGCCCGCACATCTAACCTGTGCTCTAACCACAGTGCTTCTCCTGCTCCGGAGGAGGCAGGTCCTGCGTTCAGAAGGTGTATACAGGGAGCTACTACTCCTTCCAGCTGGGTTTGAACCTGAGGATAACGATGGCCACTGTACCAGGCGGCATCACTTCCACTCGAGTGCTAGGTCCTACAAGCCTCCACACTCAGCCCAGTTTCTTACTAAGAGCAGTAAGTCTTCCTAAGACCCCCTCAGTATAAGTCCAGATATAAATAACATTAGAGGACTCCAGGTGAGTCCCCTCCCATGCCTAGGGCAGAGTACTGCCGGTACCATGCCAACTCTCTCACCTACCTGTTCAACCACCTCTTCCTTTCCTTCAGGCATGACTCCTGTTCTATCTCCATGGCAACCTCTCTTAAGATTCTGGAGCACAATATCTCAACCCTTATTCCCTCCACGCCATAAGAAATAGTGGCTACATCGGTAAGTTCCTGACCATTTTGACCATAAAGACAGAGAACTTTCAAAGAGCATCATGTACCACTCCCTCTCTGTAACCACTCCCTCTGCCCTCACCAGATGCTGTGCAGTGCATGGGAACAGAAGATATATGCAGGGAATCCCCAAGGAACTGCACTCTGGATAAGAATTCACCTACAACTGAGTTTTCAGTGGAGGAGGAGAAGCAGCAATCCTCTTTGGATCTAGATTTTTCTGTTTGATACCAGAAAGCAGCCTGGTTTTACTTTCATTCCCTGATAGAAGAAACTCATGAAATTTATGAAAAATGGATCAAAAGTCTTCCCTCTTCTAAACTTAACTCAAGAAATACAACTAAAACCTACCTTGAGTTTCTGGGATTTTGTATGGAACAAAACATCTTGGTAGTGCTGGGCGCAGCCCGGGCGCACATCTCTGATATTAGCAGCGGGCAGCAGCAAGGTATCTAAAGTCTTCAGAG